GAACACAGACACACATAGACCCATTTTTAGATAGATAGACAGACAGACAGACAGACCGCATTTTTCGGAGTATAAGACGCACCCAGATTTTCACTCTCTTTTTTGAGGGGAAAAGGGTGCGTCTTACACTCCGAAAAATGCGGTCTGTCTGTCTATCTATCTAAAAATGGGTCTATGTGTGTCTGTGTTCTAGCATAACTCTGAAACGCCTTGAGCAATTTCAACCAAACTTGGTACACAGATGACTTAGTCTCTGGAAAAAAATACTGTGGGGATAAGACACCCCTAAACACTCCTTGGAGTGTGTTCTGTTAAGAAATCTCTTGTTTCACAAAGTTTTTAAGAAGCAGCAGTGGTTTCTGCTACGTTATTGGTTTGCTCTCAAGCCTTTAATACATGTACAAGAGATCTGAATGGTCTCATTTAATGACCAGCTCTACGAATTTCCTTTAAACAAAAATTGAACCTGGCACAATTCCTTCTCTTGAAAAAGCTTTCTCCTCTCTCCCTTAGAATGACTCGGGAATGACCCACTTCCACTCCCAGCCCCACTACAGGCTACGACTGGGCGATGTGCCGTTTGTTGCTGGGAAGGTAAAGAAGGATTATTTTCAGGGCCTCGGTCACTTGGTGCTGTCATCGCAAACAGTGGAAAAAGCGGAGCTGGTTTCATTTAAATTCCCGTACGCATCCCAGAAGTATCGTAGTAGCTATTCTTGGAAGAGAAGGTAGAATGAAACGGGTCTCTGTTCTGAGCTTAGTTCTGAATTAAGAATGCTGCTCCTGCTGGTCATGGATGCAAAAACCTCAATTGCACACAAATGAGAGATTTCAATAGGCTTTTTGTTGGTTGGGAGACTAGAAGTTCTCCAGAAGTTGCTGAGCTGTATAATTTGTGGGGTTCCTTGTTGACCATGATTGGTTTCAAGGCTTCTGGCTATAGACAGAAGATCCAGAAAACAATGGGGAGAAAAAGAGGAGGTTACAAGAGAGGAAGAGATTGAAAAAAGGGGCTTAAAAGTGAGAAAGGATAGAGTCATCAGACAGCCAGCCTGCAGTCCTCCACAGATTACTTGAAGGATAACAGAATAATGGCATTGAAAGAGAACTTGGAGGTCTTCTAGTCCAACCCCCTGCTCAGGCAGGAAACTCTATACCAATGATGGCAAACCTTTTTTGACACCCGAGTGCCCAAACTGCACATGTGCGCATGTCCAAACTGAAAGCTGTGCGCACTTGCACGCTAACTTGTACGCACATGTGTCGGCATGCATATATGCGCAGCAGAGTCCCAAAGACCAGCTGGCTGGTGGGAGGTAGGGCATCCCAACACCGGCAGCGTGGCAAGGGGTAAGATCTTTTTCTTTCATGAGCTTCTGTTTCGGCGTTTGCAGGGAAACAGAAGCTCACGAAAGAAACGCCTGACTTGGGGCAGTGGTGCACGTGCCAGCAGAAAGGGCTCTGCATGCCTCCTCTGGCACGCATGCCACAGGTTCGCCATCACGCCATCCTATACCATTTCAGACAAATGGTTGTCCAATCTTTTTAAAACTTCCAGTGTTGGAACTTTCACAACTTATAAATAAAGGAGAATATTTGTAGCTCAGGATGGGATATTTGGGGTGGGTGGGTGTTGCCCTTGATGCTCTCTGAGCACTGATGATATTATCTAGTTTGGGCAATGAAACATCTGCCAGAAAACAACCATTTCAGAGAGCACCGAGGAGTCCTAAAGGTAAAGGTTCCCCTCGCACATATGTGCTAGTCGTTCCCGTCTCTAGAGGGCAGTGCTCATCTCCGTTTCAAAGCGAAAGAGCCAGCGCTGTCCGAAGACGTCTCTGTGGTGGTGTGCCTGGCATGACTAAAATGCCAAAGGCGCACGGAACGCTGTTAACTTCCCACCAAAGGTGATCCCTATTTTTCTACTTGCATTTTTTACGTGCTTTCGAATTGCTAGGTTGGCAGAAGCTGGGACAAGTAACGGGAGCTCACTGTTACGCGATGCTAGGGATTTGAACCTGCCCAACTGCCGACCTTTCTGAGTGACAAGCTCAGCGTCTTAGCCACTGAAGCCACCACATCCCTAATCCAACCTTAATCAGGTTCTCTCTGATTTTAATGATTCTATTCCTCCTGTCCATGGTGCCATCAGGCATAAAACTGAGCATAAGGCAGAACTGTTCCTAAAACAGACCAGAAAGGACGTGATTCAGTTTTTATAGAATTCAAAAATTTGTGAAAATGGTGGCTAAGGCAGGATATTGAACTCAGGGCTGCACAGAGCTTTGACTGCAGTCCAAACTAAGTGGCGCCTTTTTAATATTTCCTCTTTTTTGGAGGATTTGTTAGTATTGGCGAAATTCCATCCTCAAAAATGATGGTCACCTTATCCTGGTGCAAAGGCAATGTCATTTATTTCTCTTTAAAGCATTGCCATTTTAAAGAAATTACCGTAAAAATATATTGCGTCCAAATATGTGAGAACTTCACCCATTTGAGATTTTATTATGGAGTAAAGTGAACATCCTTGGTGTTCTCTGAGCTTTCGTTGTTTTCTTGCAGAAGCTGTCTTACCCAACTAGGTAGCATCATCAGTGCTACTAATGCATATAATCATATACAAATATCCTCTTCTAAAGTTAACATTGTTAAAATGTATTGCTGTTTTTTGTCCCAAAGGCGCTGTTCTTCAAGGGGCAACTGGACTTTCAGGTTTTTTCCTTGAAGATGTTTTGCTTCCCATCTTAGAAGCTTCTTCAGCTCTGACTGGATGGTGGGGAATGGAAGGATTTATACTGCTTGTAGAGAGCTGGTCATTTGCATCCTTTTAGAAAGTCGTTGAGGCCACTTGGAGGTTTATCTCAGTCCTCAGGGTCACCTGAGTAGTGCAAATGGGTGCGGGACCTTCTTGGAAGTGCTGACGGGACTGTGAAGTTCAAGCGGGCTCCACATCCATTTGCACTAATCAGGGGACCCTGAGAACACAAATTAACCTCCAAGTGTGCTCAACGACTCTCTAAAAAGAATGCAAATGACAAGATGTTTGCAAGGAGTATATTTCCTCCCATTCCCCATCATCCAGTCAGATGCTTCTTGGATGAGAAGCTAAACCGTCTTCGAAGAAAAACCAGAGAGTCCAGTTGCCTCTTGCAAAAGGACCTTTGGGACAACCATGACCTGGAGGACTGAGAATCTCCACCGACATTTATCACTGTGTTTGTTCCACTCTGTGCTTAACCTTGGTGCTCTTCCTTTGTGCTGTCGCCTCAGTCTACCAGCCCAAGCCACTCGGTCACGGCCAACGTGCAGCATGTGCTCCACCTCATGAAGCAGCATTCGAAAGCCCTCTGCAACAGCCGCGTGGTCAGCGAAGCCCCGATGAGTAAGCCGTCGAGTAGGGGCAGGAGAGCATCTACGTCTTCCCTTTCTTCCACCTCCCAAGGAGATCTTTCTGAGGTGCTTCTGACATTACAAGATGAGCTCGGGCAAATGAGTTTGTGAGTCAAAACTCTTGTGGAAATGTTCACCTTGTGACCCTTTTTTTCTGACCATTACCCTTGTTTTATTAGACGGTGGTCCGCCAGGCACGACAACCACTTCAAATTTTTTTTTGCAATCCTATTTATGGAGCTGGTTGGGGTGGGTGGAGTTGGAAAGGCGTCTGGCCATGCTTTCCACCCTAAAAGACAAGCATGGGATGCTGGCATATAGGTAGTCCTCAACTTAATGGACATAGCATAATCTGCCTTGGGAAACCTTATTTGACTAGTTTCATGGATGGATTCCAAGTAGACTCTAGAAAGAGTGCAGAGAAGAGCGACAAAGAGGATTAGGGGACTGGAGACTAAAAATATGAAGAACGGTTGCAGGAACTGGGTATGTCTAGTTTAATGAAAAGAA